ACATTGCCCCAATAAAAGCATTGGCGCTCAAACGGGAGCGCATGATTTCTCGGCCAGGGACGCATTCATGGATGGAGTCAAGAGAGTGAATGGATGTATACGTGTCCACCTGGGAAAGTTGGCTCTGATTCGCAACGGAATCCGAATATTACTCGGGGCCTGGTTTTAACAAACGACTTCTTTTGGATCACGAGGTATCCCCAGTGCCCCTGCCATCGTTTCCCGGCCGGATGTTAAGTAGCCCATTCAAGGTGAGCCCGGAGGGATGCATGCGCATTGGATCAACGTGACATCTAACGGGGTTGGGGTATGACATGGGCATCCCGAGTTAGCTGCAGGCCCTCAGAATCCCGGGATTTAAGCAATTCCTGGGGAGGGGGGCGTGTAAGATTTTACTTTTCTGGGACACCCCGTGACACCCCGCGTTGATCAACAGGGGTTGATGAATTGATCCGGGGTTGACTCTGCCAAAGTTGGGATTTTCCTGCACTGCACGGGGAGCCTTTCATTTCGTTTTTGGCAGTTGGAAGAGGATTCCAAACAAGGGCATCCCTATGTGTTGGTTTGGGTTCAGCTTAGCTTGTCCAGAAGCGCCTCAAACATCGCTCGTCATTCACGCAGTATTTTGTGCCTGTCTCCTTTGAAGAGGTATCCCGAATTCTGGTTGGTTTGAAGGGACAAGGAAAGCGGGGCAACGTTTCGGGAGGTTTCGATTCAAGAGGACTACTTTAATCCCTTTGAAGCGTGTTTGCAAGACGTTTTGATTTTGATTCATTGTTTCGCCGGCTCCTTGACACATGTGGGTGTCTCTAAAAATTAGGAACCTCTCAGCTGGTTGGTTCCCTCTTGGTTTTCCAAGGCTCAAGCCCGTGCTTCCATCTATAAGACACGCTCATTTCGCGTTCAAAGGACCAGCTCTCTACCCTTCCAGGGTGTTCGGAACACCCTGCATTCTCCTCCATTGGTGATTTGTTGGTTGTCTCCTATGGTTTTTTGTCTTTTCCTGTGAGTTTTCCCCTGTGTGGTTCAGAGGGAAGTGATGTACACACCAAAATAACCAAATCTCGTGTCCTTGTTTTCCTTCTGCTCTCCCTTTCCCTCTCGAAACTCGGAACAACAAAAAACGTCAAACAAAGCCGGGACTCACACGGGTTGGGTCGAGTCCACACGTCACGTCCACGCGAGGGCCCCTTCGTGCTGGAGCTCTCGAAGGCCTCGGCGCTGAAATCCGCGGTGCCGCCGCTGGCGGAGGCCCTGGGCCTGGGGCCCCAGGGCCCCCGGGCCGCCGCGGGAGCGACGGGGGGGGGGGGCCCGAGCGGTCGAGCGAAGTAGCTGCCTGCCCTACCCCGTTGCCACATAGGAAACTTAAAAGGAAATGGATGTTTTGTTGATCTGTTTTCAGACTTCCTCTTTAGTACCCAGGTGATTAGTTAATATTGAAATCATGTTGCTCCCTTGTCGACATCATCCTTTCTTGAATTGGGACCATGGCTCATGTGCCAAAATCCGAGGAATGCCCAAACATCATCTATCCCATCTTAAAGCGAATGCCTGCATCGTGCGCACCGACTCAGAAAACCGCGGCCTATATCAGGAGATGTTGACCATGGCTCAGTTGTCCAGTGGCCCCCATTTCTTAAGCACTCCCAGTGACAAACTTGTTTTGAGTGGCGACGCGACCAAGTAAAACCAACCTGGTTAATAACAGAGGTAACAACCATAAGGACGAAGCTGAACCCGTGGTGTGCCAATGTTCTGAACAAGGGAACCGGATGCAACTTCACAATCCAACCTGTAGCCAACCAACTAAGTTTGCATGTCCTGTCAACGTCTTGCGTGTGTGAATGTTTGTTAGATCGGCTGCACAGGCACTTTGGCATGTCCTGTAAGCGAGCTGCAAGCACAACCCCTGAATCATGGAGTGGACAGCTGCCATGACATACCCAAAAGGCTAAGAACCCATAGCCGTGAGCCGTGCTGGGGCTTCATTTGTTCTGAGGCCCAGTGCAAAACTTAGGCCCTCAAACCGCTTCAGATCTTCCAAGTGGCAACGCCACCCCAAGACCCCCACCCCCGCTCAGCGAGCTCAGGCATTCCCAGCCATGGCGCCCGAAGCTCAGTGGCCATGGCCCGTGTTCCTTTCGCATACCTGGACATTTGAGCAGACATGCATCAGACAAACCGACGAAGACGAAGATGAATCACAGAAGAATGCCTCGTACAGGAATATTAGTTTGAGACATTTGTTAGCTTCCTTTTTGCACTTGCATTAATGTCTGTTGGTACTACTTTGCGTGATCATGAGTCAGCATTACTGCGCAATTTAGTGCGAGCTCAGCTGAGGAGCGGGTTGAGTATTTCAACTTAACGAGGTGATTTAAGTAAATTCAGAGCAACCAGGTGCAGGAAAAATCTGTTCAGGGCCTCTTTTTTTTTAACATTATCACAGGTGATTGTTGGAGACAAACACTTTTCGGAGCTTGAGCAGTTTGTTTTTCAGCACTCTGGGCAGCCATGAGGCGCTGCTCGCCCTTCTGCGAGGTACCTTTCCGAGGTGACAGGGGGTTTAACGAGGCGAGGCGCACGCCAAAAAGTTCGATAGAACAACGAGGTGACGAGCCAAAATTTGTTCTCAATTGCACATATATTTTTCAGCTAGCACTCTTTCTGTGAGCCTCACACTTTTGCTTGCTTGTCCATTGTCGTCCGTGTTTCTCGTGTTGATTCTTCATCCCGTTGGTTCATGGGCTTTCCAGTGTCCCCGTTTCCCCGCGGAACAACTCCTGTTGCGACTTGATGTTTTTCAATTTGGGCGTATGATCCGTTAGTGAGGATTTGAACCGCTCAGTTGCTGGGATACGCCGCTACAAACCACAAATTCAAAGCTTTTCGAGGGAAGCCCCGAGTTTTGTGGCTTAGGTGACTTTCATGCAGGAGGGTCGTACGTTGGAGCTGGATAAGAGCCTCTCAGAAAACGCACCTTGGACTGCAAGCAGATTGGATCCGAAAGGTTAAGTCACACGAAGCGGATATGGACCCGACCGGTGGCTGGGTTTCCTCTTGGTTTGCCCTTAAAACTCGCGGCAGCTCTCATTTTGTTTCGATGTTGCTGTTGGGTTTGCGTGTCACATTTGGCTAGATTGGGCTGAGGACGTTCATTGAACCGTTCAATGGGGCAATTTGGAAACATCATGATAATCTATGTGAAGGAGTCGTTCATATGTTGTCTGCACCACTTGCAAGCAAAACGGGGGTCAGCAAGCATTCTAACAACAAAAGGTTCTTTCTTGGGGTTTTTGATCTGAACCTTTGAATCCCTAGTATCCTTTGCATGGTAGCCTGCCTGGGGGCCTGCTATAATAGTGCCGGATATATGTGGATTTAATTGTATCTTATCCGTGGAGCACGTGGCAAGTCGACAGTGCCAGGCCCTCGGGGCAGTTTTTGAGAGCACCCACAAACCATCCCAGCGACTAGTTCGATAGCAGGTACTGGGTGTGGAGACTTCCTTGGAGCATCCCACTTCGCACGCATGACTTGTGCCCGCAGCATGACTTGGTGCCCGAAAGGGGCACAGAGATGTGTCCCTAATGAATATCATTTGGTTTGGGAACTAATCCTTGCGTCGTGTGCTCGTAAATATCATCCTCCGCGATGATAGCACGTGCCTTTGCTGTTCGTAAAGCCTACCTCAACAGTAATCAACACTGTCAACCTTGCCCGCCATTCAGCCACGCTACACCTTCAACTTAGCCCAGTCAGCCCTCTAGTGCAACCTTGACTCATTCCCAGGTCAACCCCCTGCAACCACTCAGGATAGGTTGTGACTGACGTTTCCCCCCAAGGTTTACTCGAAGGCCACCTTTTCCCAATTCCGCAAGAACTATGTCAGCCGCTCTGACCCCTAAATTCAATGGACGCCAAAAGTCTAGGGGCTCCTTCCCTATTCTTTCCAGGGATCCTTCTTTTCAGGAAACCATCAAAAATCCAGGGGAAACAGTCGGCTTTTGAAAAGAACCATGCTTGAAAATAACGGACAAGGAATCAACCCGTAGAAAAAGGACATGGGATTCGGATTCGGTCGGCCCAAAGAGTCGCCAGGAGATCACCATTCCCGGCGCGCGGGCGAGAAGGGAAGGCGAGAAGGTGGTGCTCTGCTTCGACACCGAGCCCCCTGCCATCGGAAGTCAGCTGCGTTTCAAATGACATGGCCGTGGGTCAAAGCCAATGGGATCCCATTTTGGGGTAGGTGAATTCACCACCCATTTTAGAACCTATTTTCGTGGGGATTGGGATGTTCTCTGGGGCTACGGGTTTTTGAACCAGGGCCATATCAGTGTTCAGTTCCTTCCGTTTGTTCGAATTCGATTTGTGTTTCCCCCGATTTGTTTAAAAGGACATCTATCCAGTTACTGGATTTAGGTTCAATTCTTTCCGGGGACTGAAGCAAATAGAGGGTTCAGATGGCCAGAATAAGATGCGTTTGTTTAGGTGTTCGTCAGGCATCAGGATATTGTGGCTATGATTTTAGGGACACCTTTGCAGCGGTTGGTGAACGATGCAGCATGATGTTCTAATTTACACGCGCTATGCCCATGAAGCTCTTATGAACATTCTTCCTGGTTTCAAAGTGCCCTACGCCGCCTATTTCCTGGTTTTAAACATTCCTTTGACTTAGCCTTCTCTTTTAGTACCCATGTTTTGTTTCGGCTCCGCAGCCATTGGGCTTGAAAGCGCCGACATGCCTTGCACGTTGACCCATCGGTCAGTCGAATTCGACTTGGGAAGGCATCAAACCCTTACTCTAAGCACTCCGCTTGCTTACCGTTACCCTTCATGCGCTCAAGACCATCTTTGAGTTTCGAGCATGTTTCGATTTCTTTGGCGTATCCCACTTTGTTTTTCTCGGGTTTTTGACCATCTCTCATCTTCCCACCCGCTTTTGTCCCTGCGTTCTTGGTGTTTCTGGCCGCGCTCGGCGCTGCTTTTGAGCTCGCGCCATGGCGAGCTCTTCGTGCGCTGTGGCCTCTGTCATGGTGGCGGCGATCGCCTCGATGATCTTTGGCGCTGCGCCCGAGTTTGGGGCGGGCTCGATGCGGGTCTTGGGGAGCAAGGAGCCATGCGGCCACGTCAGTCTTTTTTTTGTGGGGGTACCCCTTTTTTGGTTGGTTCAAGAGCGACAGTGAACCAAAAGGGAAACCTTTTTTTTTTTGGGGGGGGGGAGCCATGTGGGTGTGGCTCAAAATTCAACAGGAGGGGCAAACCGCCATGTTTCCACTTTACCAGGGTTCCAGTTTGGTACCGGTTTTTGGAGCCACAGCCGTGTGGCCACGTCAGACATTTTTTTGGAGTACCCCTTTTTTGGTTGGTTGAAGAGCGAACCAAAAGGGAAACCAGCATTTTGGGGGTAGGGGGGTCCCCTAACCAACAGATACACCCCATGCCTTGTACTCAAGCGAAAGGGATCTGCTTCGTGAAAGGAATTCGTTCTTGCTGGTTAACTTCTGATGGATTGCTGGTTCGATAAGGACATTGCCATAAGGGAAATATGAAGGTCCAGAAATCCAATGTTGCAATGTCCCACGTAACTCGTGCTGGTTATATAGGCAAGGGCGGGCATGAGCCCGAACTGCTTCAATTCAACTGGTGTCCTTTCCCGATTGGCTCATTCCCTTCTTGATTTTTTTAAACCAAGCAGTTGGGGCGCAGTAGTTTCCAATAGGGCTACTAAAGGTCTACAGGTTCTCATTAGGTTAGCCAGTTGTTGTGATCTGAGCACACGGCTTTTTCTGCCCCAGGGCAATGTGTGCCCAAGCACATGAGCCTTCTCGGGGTAAACAGCAGAACAAAGCTCGTACAGTTCGTTTTCCAAACGCTCGCGCCGAAGGAGTCTGGCCTTGGGCCTTGGGCCTCATTTTCCGAAGAGGAACTCATCCTTCCACACCCGACTTGGATAAATCTTCGGCCTCAAGAAAAGAAATGGGCCATTGCGCTGGCCACCACAAAGGGCTGGTTTCCTTTCGTTTCCTAAAAAAATAAACTTGGGGCGCCCAAGGCTGCTTCCTTCTTTGCGTGCTTGCTTCGCGAAGCGGAGGCATCAGCTTGGGCTTCACCAGCCCGGCCATCGACGTGATGCAGGCTGGTGACTGCCGCAGAGTCAGACCCCACATTGGAAGTTGGTCGCAACAATCGTGGGTGAATGGTGTCTCCATGTTTGAGCTAGCTTGCTGCGTGACCCAGCCTAATTCGTAATTATGCAGTATTTGTCTTTGGACGCCGAACTGGGTGTGTGTGTGTGTGTGCGTTTTTTTTTTTTTTGAGGAATCCCTCACCCTGCTCACCAGCAGCCAACCCCCAGCTGATTTTTGTTGGGATCCTTTTTTGACACATCAAAGGGGGCCCTGTTTCCTTGGTCAAAACAACCCCAAAGACCAAGCAGGGGACTTGTTGATTTGGGTTTGTCTTGAAGCGAAGAGCCAAAGTGGGAACCCGATGTTCCAAATTCATGGACCAACAAGGGTACCAAAAATGCATAACCAAGGGTGTTGCCGGGCATTTACTTCTGGGCAACTCTTCTTGCACTTACGTGGGGAAACGGGTTCCCAGTAGGCCCTGAATTCACTTCCGAACTCGGAGAACGTGTCAGAAGCCATGACCAGCGAGGGACGATAGCCGCACGGGCTGTGATCAGACGAATTTGAACTGCTGGACACCACGCTCATTCGCCCGAAGGGTCCCATTGATGGTGCTGCTTTAACGCACAGAAGGTCTGCTTGCCCCAAATTTGGTGGGAGGGCCCCGTCACTGGGCAGTTTCAAAAAACCGTTCGAGAGTCTTTCAATTATTGCACCGGTGCTTCACCCCCCCTTGCTGTAAGCCTATAGTAATTATCCACTTGCCCACCTTCCGGACGCCTTGAGGACTTTCTTTGGGCACCTTTGGGACTGAATCCCTGAAAGCGAATATTTGATGGGTTCTCAAGATTGCCTCTGAGGGGTGGCTTTCCTGGCAATCATTTAGGGGATTATCACTATAACCCAGTTGTTCAAATGCACCCTTTTTCCTTTTTGTTTGGTGAGTTCCCCACCAAATAAACTGTGAACCTTCAAGGAGGTTTTCCCTTCTTCACCGTTCAGGTCATTGGATTATCCGTCGCCAGGACACGGTGCGGGAGAATGGACACTGGATTCCGGCGCCGGCGCACTTGGTGGTCTTTGAGAGCGACCACAAGAGCTCCTCCCAAGGCTCGATCGATCCCATCGCAGCGGCGCCATTGAAGCGATCGGCCGGGCAGCGGGATCGTTCCCCGATGGGTTTCGCTGAATTCATGGTGTCCTTGTACTGACGCTTGGGGTGGAAACAAATGACTAACAGCTAGAGGGTGTGAAGTCCGAAGCATAGGCTGCGCCACAATGACAAGCCCCTTCCTGAAGCTGGCTGTGACGATGGACCACACTAGTGCTCTTGAAGCCGAGATGTTCTCAGGGAGTGATTCAAACTTGTCGGACTCGGGGGGGGTGGGGCTCTATATTTTGGGTGAGACAAGTTCAGAGCCAAACTTTACGATGTCATTGGGCTCAACGTATGTGATTTGGGCCAGCTCTTTGTTTTCGTGCTCTGGGCAAGAGGTTCAACGCCCCAAGGCGATGTCGCTATGAAAGGGGCTAGCACATGAGCCATGAGCCCTCGTGGCAAATCAAAGGAGAGAGACAGCAAGTTGCCCAACACATGCAAGTACGCAAGACAGGAAGCTCGGGAATTTACAATGCTTCTTCCGTTTGGTTCACTTGCGACCTTGCAATGTTTTGAAAATTCTGTGTTTCAGGGAGGTGTCTGCACTTCCCCGCCGCGGGTCTGTTCTTTGGGGGAGACTGGGCCAGGCTCTTTGTTCAGTGCCATCGTGAACATCGGGGCGCTGCTGGGCGCATTGTGCGGTGGACCTTTGAGCCAACGCGTGGGGCGCGACTCGGCAGCGGTAAACCCCCCCCTCGGCAAACATGGAAGTTCACGCACCCCTTTAAGAGCACTGTCCGCTTGGAAAGGGAGTCTGCGCACTCCATGTTTGTTGGTAATTAGGGGGAGCGAGAGAGCTAGGCTTACATCGTTTTCGCAAACCACGTGGAGAGTCGGAGTCTTTGTTTTCCATAGTCCATAGCTAGGATGACAGCATATTAAGTTGACAGTGGCTCACGTATTGGCACTTGTACGCGCGTTATGTGTACACATTGTTTTGTTGGTTTTTTGCTTTAAACATCTATATGGGTGCCTTCCCCAGTTGGTTTTCAGCACCTCCGAATGGGGAGAAGTGTGTGCTTTGGTTGACCCAGGTCCGAATTTCGGAGCTTCTCCAGCTTTCACTTTGGGCATCGGAAACATCTGATGCTTCTTAGTGAATCTGTATGATCCTGGGCGTTTTCGCAGACGTGGTTCCTTTTTGGGGTTGACTCCGAGGTCTCCTCCGGAGCCAAGTCTGGACTGTTCAAATCCAATACTTCATTTGTATCCTGCGTTATGCCGGATGGCATTTGCCAGATGGTCCCAACAAATCAGCAAAGCCCTGAACCCTAACTCCCCCCCACAAAGAAGTAAGAACCCAACAAATTCAAATCGGGCTTGAGCCAAGTGAGACGTTCAGAAGACCCTGGGATCGAGCGATCCGAAGTGCAGGCAAGGGCAGCATCTTGCTCATGGCCCCGCTCTTTGTGTTGGCCTCTCGGAAAAAGTATGGGGTCTGGGATCGGGTTCTTAATTCATATTTATTTAGCAATCAGGTAGTTGGTTTATATGTTTATTTACTTATTAATTGTTGCTTATCCATTGAAGACGTGTATTGCTGTTTATATATGTCTGTGTTATTATACAATTTCTTTAAGTATGTGGTTTTGTTTTGTTGTTATGTGTTTGTGATCTTGCTTGCTTGCTTGCTTGCTTGCTTGCTTGCTTGCTTGCTTGCTTGCTTGCTTGCTTGCTTGCTTGCTTGCTTGCTTGCTTGCTTGCTTGCTGATTGCTTGCTTGCTTGCTTGCTGGCCTGTTTGTGTGTTTGTTTGTTTGCTTGCTTGCTTGTTTGTTTGTGTGTTTGTTTGTTTGTTTGTTTGTGTGTTTGGTTGTTTGTTTGTTGGTCTGTCTGTCTGTCTCTTTGTTTGTTTGATTGATTGTTTGATTGATTGTTTGTTTGTTTGTTTGTTTGTTTGTGTGTTTGTGTGTGTGTTTGTGTGTTGTGCGTGTGTGTGTTGATTGTTTCTTTGTTGTTTGTTTCGTTGTGTGTGTGTTTCATTGATTGATTGATGATGTGTCTGTGTGTTCCTTTGTTTCTTTGTTACTTTGTTTGTGTTGTGTGGTTGTTTGTGCGTGTTTGTTTGTTTGTTTGTTTGCTTGCTTGCTTGTTTGTTTGTGTGTTTGTTTGTGTGTTTGTTTGTTTGTTTGTTTGTTTGTTTGTTTGTTTGTTTGTTTGTTTATTTGTTTGTTTGTTTGTTTGTGTGTTTGGTTGTTTGTTTGTTGGTCTGTCTGTCTGTCTCTTTGTTTGTTTGATTGATTGCTTGATTGATTGTTTGTTTGTTTGTTTGTTTGTGTGTGTTGGTGTGTTTTTTTGCTTGTTTGTTTGCTTGTTTGTGTTGTTGGTTTGTTTGTTGTTTGTTTGTTTGTTTGATCGATTTATCGATTGCTTGTTTGTGTTTGTGTGTTGGTGTGTTGTGTGTGTGTTGGTCTTTTTGCTTGCTTGCTTGCTTGCTTGGTTGGTGGTTTGTTTGTTTGTTTGTTTGTTTGTTTGTTTGGTTGTTTGTTTGTTTGTTTGTTTGCTTGTTTCTTTGTTTGTGTGTGTATGTTTGTTTTTGTGACTTTTTGTGTGTGTGTTTGTGTTTGGTTGGTTGCTTGCTTGCTTGTTTGTTTTTTGTTTTTTTTTGTTTTTTTTGTTTGTTTGCCTGCCTGCCTGCCTGCATGCCTGCCTGCATGCCTGCCTGCCTGCCTGCCTGCCTGCTTGTTGTTGTTTGGTTGGTTCGTTGGTTGATTGTTTTTACATATATATATATATATACGTGTTAACTGTGTTTTATTAATATTATTATTATTATTACTATTATTGTTATTATTAATTGTTATTAATATTATTATTATTATGATTATTATTATTGTAAACGCTTTGTGTTGCCCGCCTCGGCCAGTATGGTTTTGGCTGGCTTTAAGGTACTGTGGTTTTGTTTGTCTTGAGGTGTGGTGGTTGTTTGAGTAAGTGAGTCAGGTGGGTGCATGTTCGCGTGTTTCCACATGGCTTCAAGGGCTTCAAGGAGAGCCGAGTTCGACCTAGAGGGGATTTAACTGGTGTCGGGAATTTGGGACCAATTTCTAGTGGGATTTGAGCGGAAGGTTTGTAGCAGGGAATTTGACTTGTTTCTAGAGGGAGTTGGACGGGTTTCTAGGGCGTTTGGGCGTGAATACATAGAGTTTGCTTGCCGCTTTGTCTAGTTACTAGTTTGCCATTTCCCCACTCAGAACCTCACCCATGATGAAGATTCCTTTCTCAGGCTCCTTCAAATAGGTGAAATCTCATAATTGGCCCAGATATTCTCTTTGAAAGGATCAGACATGCCAGTTTCATGAGCGTTTAGATTCCTATTAATCTGCAAGCAAGTCCTTTTACGTGTTTTCGCCGCAGATTGAACATGGAACCAAACAAAGCACTCATTGCGGGACTCTTTTGTGAGAATCTCCATTTTGGGAGACAAATTATGCGGGTATACCCACCGGCCATCCGGTCTGGAGGTTTGGGCGTTGACCTCAGTGGCCTCCAGCTTCACGCCGCTACTGCTGGCAAGGAGCGGAGACGAGTCGCTTGCGGTCAGCGCAGAGCGGTTCTTCCGATATACCCTCGCCCTTTTCACATAGAACCCGACGTTCGGGACCCGCCCCTTGAAAAGTAGTCTGGGACCCCCCCACCCTGTCGGGTTCCATGTTAGTTGGTGGGAGGTCATATATTTTTATATATACAAATATAATATGACATTTTCTAGTGATAAATTCCACATCCTTGGGATTCTTCCCAGAAATGTGCAGACGAAAGCAATGCAAAGGATTGGTTGAGCAGAATGGTCACCATGTCACCGTGTCGATTGGAGCGGCCCGATAAGGGTCCGGCTTCCGGCGGTCCTTTGGTGTCCCTTTTTCTTGGGTGAGTTGAAGCAGCTGCTGCCGGATTTCCTGTTCGTCCTTTTGCTATAGTTGTGCTTGCGCTAGAATATCACGTTGAGGTCAACCAAGAGGAGTTTAAAGGGTAATCACAGGAAAACAACCACAGAAGGGTCTCTTCTTCAAACAGTTGGAGGTTGAAGAGACGCCAAGTGGACATCATTTTGCTTATTTTCAGCCAGTTGTCCAGCAGTTTCCAGGCCCTTGTCTTGCCTGTTGCGCAAACACGTGTTGTCATGTTTTGGAATAATATTCGTCTGAAGTGACTGGAACATGTCATGTGTTTCCTGGAAACGAGCTTCCAAATTGACACAGTGTTTGTGGGATGCATTCAAAGTTACATGGGGCAAATGACAAACCCTAGTCAGAAGCAGACGGGGACGGTCTTTGAAGCACGCAGGGACTGGTCTTTGGATGGGCGTGTCGTGAAATCCTTGCTTTTTCTAGAGTCTTGAAGTGGGTGTCCTCTCCAAGAGCCAACCATCAACCAAGTTTCGGTCTCATCCTGGTCCTGTTTTGCCAGGTTCTTCCTGGGGGTGGGCATTGGCCTTTGCAGCACCGCCCCTCGGCTTGGAAGTTGTTTGGGTTTTGGCCGTTCTCCGGGCGAGGGCGCCAGGCTTTGGGATCACGAGCAGCCAACAACAGGCTGGGCTTTGAAGAAAGCAGGGTACGATGAAGTCCGGCTGTTGAATTAGGGACCTCGCCACAGCGGGCAACGGGCCTGGCGCTTGGATGAGATATAGGAGGGCCCCTACAAGCATCAGATATTGCACTCTTTCTTCCTCACAACAATCTCACTCATGCTCAAGGTCGCTTACTTGCATCCACAATTATTGAATGAGCCTCCCGGCAAATGTGAGTTCTGGGGACTCCTTGGTGTGCCCGTCAGTCTACAACTGCACAACCATAGGGTGGGTTTCAACAGAGCACGTTTTGACCCATTCCCAGCTCTCACATTGCATTTGCATCCTGACGCCCTGAAGCCAGCCGGTTGGCCAGGTTGCTTGCAGGCTGTGTTGAAAGAAGGACAACTATGGTGTTTTCTGTCATGTCCAAGTAGGCAAGGAATTAAGCAACCGGACCCTTTTCCCGATTTGCACGCGTTCAGCAATCATTGGAGTGCTATTTGGCGCAGAATGAATATGGTTTGTTGTCCAACAGGGAACCACTACGAGATGGGTACGTTGCCACCGTTCGCAGTATTTGACGCCCGGTTGAATTGAAAGGGTGTTGCAAACGGGACACAGAATCGTTTGCAGACGTGAACCACCACAGCAAAGTGAACAACGGTGGGTGGGATAAATGGTAATATGCAAGCTATGCAAAAACCTAATATCGAATGTGCAGCCATTGATCTCGCATGGGGACTGCGTGTTGCACGCGGGGACTACACCCTTGGATATCGCCCCGATTTCGTCCGAAGGGAAACCCATGGCTTTTATGCACACAGGGCAAGACAGGGCTGCAAATCAGTCAGTCCACACTCGGGTGTAGGAAAGAACCTTGGAAACCAATATGGAAAGACCTGGCTGTGGCTAAGCTCCCTGCATAGCCATAGCCAGTGATTAGCTGATTAGCTGGAAGCACTGAGAGCCACGGGCCTGCGAGTCTAGGTGGTGCCCACCTATATCAACGAGATCTCTCCCACACATCTCCGGGGAGCCTTGGGGGCCGTGTTTCAGATGGCCTGCGTGGTGGGCATCATGCGCGGCTGACGCAGTTTGCACCGGCCGACTTGTTGCCTCTTTGCATGGCCTCTGTGTTGCTGAGGTGTTTCTTTGTGTATTGTATCATGTTTGTTGTTTGCTTTGGTTTTGTGTTGTGTGTGTATGGTTTGATGTGTGTGTGTGTGTGCGCGCTCCTGTCTGTGTTTGTGTGCATGGTCTGTAACTGCGCGAATTCTGAGGCATGGAGGTTGTGGAGCTGGACCTGTTCGTCAGGGATCGGATCGGTGCACTTCCTTTTTCGCGCGAATACTGGCACACGCATTGCCAACGATTGCAAAACACCACAGTGAAAGCCGCCTGTATTGGTGTGGCCGTTGGGTTCAGGATGTTCTCGTTCCTTCCTGGCGATCAAACCAACTGAGCCCTGACCGACTTTTCTGGGCAACGGCGGGAAATCCTCCCATGCTGTGTGTGTTTGTGTGTCTGTGTGTGTGTGTGTGCGTGTACCATCTGGGCTTGTATGAGCGCTCCGGCTTCACTCTCCATATGGCTAGGGCGACCTCACTCATGATTTAAGTTTCTTTGGTAGGATTTGTTTCTGGTCCAGGTTTATTGATGATAAAATAAACATGTGACTTGTTTGCCTTCTTCTTGTTTTTTCCTCTTTTTTTTGGAGATATTGGTGAAGTATGAGCAATTGTTTAACATCAATGTGACACATCGTGCCCATGCCAGGCTCACCTACCTCCTGGGTGCTTATGTCTTTGTGGAGACTGGCCACGGCCACGTTTTCTGCCAATGGCGACTGCTGTCGCTCTTCCCTTTGGCGCTCGCTGTGCTGCTCTTCCTGCTGGGCCTGATGATCCCTGAGTCGCCGAGGCGGATTGCCCAACAAACAGGTTTGGAGGAGGCTCATTTGAAACGGATTGCACCTCAAGGTCCTAATCATCATGGCTCGCCAGCAACAGGCCACATGTCAGCAGGCACATGCCAGCACCTCGCAACGCAGTTCCCTTACATGTCCGCGGCAGTAAAGGACTAGCCCGCAGAAGATCGGCGGAAGGGAAAGAAACCAAAGCTCAGTTGACCATCACTCCCACAACAGCTTCTGGTTCTATTTGGGAATGCTAGGCCAACCTTCTTTCCAAAGCAGTACTTTCACACCCTGCCACCTCAAGCGTTCCCGCCGATCGGCCCCGATTTTCGTTCGCAGGTGGTTGGCCTCGATCGGCCGGGCAGACGCCGCCCGACTTGCCCTTGCACGGCTGCGTGGGGGGGCGCAGTTCATTGGCGAGGCCCGGTGCCGGGGGATGGGATGGGATGTGGGTTCGTTGGATAAGTCCTGAAAGTGATTCGAGTTTTGTTTTGTTTGGCCGTCCATCCTTGCTTTGTGGGGAAATCATGGCAGTGCAAGTACCATTATTGGGGTTTGCTTGCTTCGTTTCGGCTCAACCCCAACAACCTCTAAGCTGAGCTCCCTTCAAATTCATCTCCCTGGCGTATTTGGGTATTATGTGTCAGATCAAGCCCAGCACCCCTCCAAATATGGTATTTACAGAATCTTTGCGGGACCAAGCAACGGTCAACTGACAACTGGTTTTGACTCTTGACACAGAACTACTTGGGAGTTGTTCAAGGTAAGGACGCTTCATGAATTACGCAATCTAATTTGGCTTGGATACCCATCAGACTCATCAGACCCCTGGTTTCCTTTGTTTCAAGCGGTTCCTCCTGGGCGAATAGAGCCATGCCCAGGAGTTGGAAGAGATCCACGCGGCCGTGTCAGAAGCGGGCGGCGCAGGTGGCTGGAAGGACTCGTCGAGTCGTGGGTGGCTGGTCGGTGGGCGACGTATCTCCATTGGGACTGGGGCCCGGATCGTGTGGCTAGATGTGATCCTTCGATACGAAACTCCAGGAATCAAAAGGACAGCAACCCATTTTCTCAGATGGCAAACCACTACCCCCCAAACCACTACCCCCAGAAAAGCAAGAAAGGGTACCCTTTACATAGTGGCTGTATACCACGGGTTTTTTTCAGGGGTCGTGGTGTGGGGGCACCATCTTGGACTTGTGGTTTCTTGGATCTTTTTTTTGCTTGGACGGCCTGGGAGTTCGCTTAGTGGTTAGCAACCAATGTAACAGTTTGAAAGATTGCTTCCGGACCGTCTAAGCAGCTTTCCCCCACCCATTTTGTG